GACCATGTCGTAGCTCAGTCGACTAAGGCAGTGTCTGGGATGCTCTCTGACGCAGGTTCGAATCTTCGTCACGGCCCTTTTTGTTAGCCACTGTTCATCCTCGGCGACTTTAACGCCAGAGTGGGTGCCGAGCACAACATTTGGCCCACTTGTCTGGGTCAATTTGGCATAGGGAGGATGAATGAGAATGGGCAACGTCTGCTAGAACTCTGCTGCCTTCATGGTCTTTGTGTCACCAACACGTTCTTCGGCACAAAGTCTCAACGCCGAGTATCTTGGAGACACCCCAGATCCAAGCACTGGCACCAGCTTGACCTGATTCTTACCAGGCGTGCAAGTCTACCCAGCGTCAAGATTACGCGTAGCTACCAGAGTGCTGTCTGTGACACCGACCACTCCCTTTTATGTAGCAGGGTCAAGATGCAACCAAAGAAGATTCATCACTCGAAAAAGGCGGGCAGACCTCGCATCGACACCACCAAGACCCGCAACTAGGACAAGGTGGAAGATTTTGCACGCGTGCTCGAGGAAGCTCTTCCTGGCCCAGCCGGGGTCACTGCCTGTAAAAGATGGGAGCACTTCAGAGACGCTGTGTTCAACGCTGCCATTTCCACCTTTGGCAAGAAGACCAGCAGGTCGGCAGACTGGTTCGAGGCTCACTCGGAAGAGATGACACCTGTCATCGAGGAGAAGAGAAACGCCTTGGCAGCCTACAAAGCCTGCCCAAGTCAGCGCAACTTACAAATCCTTCGGGCCGTCCGCTGCAAAGTGCAGCAGAGCGCCAGGCGATGTGCCAACAACTATTGGCTCCAGCTCTGCTCCCAGATACAGACTGCAGCGGATACAGGCAATGTAAGGGGAATGTATGACGGCATCATGCAGGCCCTCGGCCCAATCCAGAGGAAGACCGCTCCTCTGAAATCTGCCACTGGCGAGGTGATTCAGGACCAGATACTGCAGCTGAAGCGCTGGGTCGAGCACTACTCTGAGCTATACGCCAGGGACAATGTGGTCACCGAAGACGCCCTGAGCGCCATTGAGTGTCTGCCTGTGTTAATGGAGCTCGACAGTGAACCGACCCTGGAAGAACTCAGCGATGCCCAAGATTCCCTTGCTTCTGGTAAAGCTCCTGGCAAAGATGGCATCCCTGCTGAGACCTTGAAGTGCTGCAGAGGTAGCCTGCTCATGGAGCTGCATGAAATTCTCTGCCTCTGCTGGGAAGAAGGAGAGGTGCCACAGGACATGAGGGATGCCAACATCGTCACGCTGTATAAGAATAAAGGTGACAGGGGTGACTGCAACAACTACCGTGGAATCTCCCTCCTCAGTATCGTCGGACAGCTGTTTGCTCGAGTCGCATTGAAGATGCTCCAAGTACTTGCAGAGAGAGTCTATCCAGAATCACAATGCGGATTCAGAGCTGGCAGGTACACCATCGACATGGTCTTTTCCCTCAGACAACTGCAGGAGAAATGCAGGGAACAGAAGCAGCCACTCTTCGTAGCCTTCATAGATCTGACGAAGGCCTTCGACCTCATCAGCAGGGATGGCCTGTTCAAGATCCTCCCCAAAATCGGATGCCCACCCAGGCTCCTCAGCATCATCAGATCTTTCCATGAGAACATGAGGGGCACCGTGGTCTTTGATGCCCTAACATCAGACGCCTTTGACATCCAAAGTGGAGTAGAGCAGGGCTGCGTACTGGCTCCAACCCTATTCAGGATTTTCTTCCCAGTTATGCTGCGGCACGCCTTTGGATCTGTCACGGAAGGTACTTACCTCCGGACCAGGTCGGATGGAAACCTCTTTAACCTCGCCAGGCTGAGAGCCAAGACGAAGGTTCGGCTGAGGTGTCTGCGCGACTTCCTTTTTGCCGACGACGCCGCAGTCACTGCCCACTCAGCTGAAGACCTCCAATGGCTCATAACCCGCTTCAGCGAGGCCTCTCAGGCTTTCGGACTCACCATCAGTCTGAAGAAAACACAAGTCATGGGACAAGGAGTGGACTCCCCACCTGACATCGGCATCTCTGATTCCAAACTGGAAGTCGTTCATGACTTCGTGTACCTGGGCTCCACAATCTCTGACTCCCTCTCTCTTGATACGGAGCTAAACAAACGCATCGGTAAGGCATCTACTACCATGTCCAGACTGACAAAGAGAGTGTGGGCCAACAATAGGCTGACTGAGTATACTAAGATTCAGGTTTACAGATCCTGTGTCCTGAGCACTCTCCTTTATGGCAGTGAGTCTTGGACACTCCGCGTCCGTCAGGAAAGGCAGCTGAATGCCAATCACATGCGCTGCCTTTGACACATCTTGGACATCACCTGGCAGGACAAGGTGACAAACAACAACGTCTTGGGGAGAGCAAGAATCACCAGCATGTACACAATGCTGAAACAGAGACGAATGCGCTGGCTCTTGCACGTTGTGCGAATGGGCGACGGCAGGATCCCCAAGGATCTCCTGTACGGAGAGCTGATGCAGGGAAAGCGTCCAACAGGCAAGCCCCAGCTACGGTACAAAGACGTATGCAAGAGGGACCTGAAAGCCATGGACGTCGATCTTGCTATATGGGAGACACTGGCTGCAGACCGTTCAGCCTGGAGGCAATCTCTTCAAAGAGGTCTCTCCAAGTTCGAGGAGTCACTTGCCAAGGAATCGGAGGCAATGAGACAGAGAAGGAAAGCCGGTAGCCAGGAAGACAGACCAGAATCGGACTTCGTTTGTGCTCGGTGTGGGAAGGACTGCCACTCTCGGATTGGCCTCATCAGTCACACCAGACGCTGCACCAGGATTGACAACTAGGGCGCAACTCCATAGTCTCCCGAGACTGAAGGATGCCTGCTAATATATATATATATATATATATATATATATATGTCGTACCTAGTAGCCAGAACGCACTTCTCTGCCTACAATGCAAGGCCCGATTTGCCTAATAAGCCAAGTTTTCATGATTTAATTATTTTTCGACTTCCTAACCTACCTAACCTAACTTTTTCGGCTACCTAACCTAACCTAACCTATAAAGATAGGTTAGGTTAGGTAGGGTTGGTTAGGTTTGGTCATATATCTACGTTAATTTTAACTCCAATGAAAAAAATTGATCTCGTACATAATGAAATGGGTAGCTTTATCATTTCATAAGAAAAAAATTATAGAAAATATATTAATTCATGAAAACTTGGCTTATTAGGCAAATCGGGCCTTGCATAGTAGGCCGAGAAGTGCGTTCTGGCTACTAGGTATGACATATATATATTGTGACGATAATCTCTTTCAAGAGAGATTGAGCCTGCAGTTCCCTACCTTAAGTTACGCCAAAGACACAAGTATAAGATGCTACATTCAAGATACGTCACCAGTAGCACAAAACGTTTTGACCAGGAGGCAAAACGTATCCAAGATCCCCCTACTCCACACACCCTCCACGCGCCGGCTCGTCATCAAACCAGCTAACTACCCTTCACCAGCTTGCCTGCCTCTGATTGGCTACTCGCCAGCCGCGCGCCTGCACACAGCACCTCAGCGCCCTCTACACGAATCGACGTCTGAGCCTGACAAGCAATCCACTTCAGAATATTCCTTGTGCTCTTACGGATGACACCTCTCTCTGGCATACTCGCTCATTAGCTCGTATACGAAGGGAGGTTTCAGCCATAACCGATATTCTCAGCACCATTTTAACATTGTATTTTGTATTTCACATTGTCTTTGAATTTTCTTTATTATTTAACTGTAATTTAACTTCCCGAGATTTGTCTTTATTTTCATTTATGTTTAAAGTAAATATATTAAAGTTTCATTGTTCATATTTTGTGTTTTACGTGTTCCTCCCTCTAACTTACCACAGACAACAGGCAAGCAGTCTATATTTTGTTTAAAGTGTGACCAGGCTTTGACACCTGCCATTGGAGGACTGCCGAACATCAACACTCCAACACTTTCCCGTCACATTTTAAATATATATATATATATATATATATATATATATATATATATATATATATATATATATATATATATATATATGTCGTACCTAGTAGCCAGAATGCACTTCTCAGCCTACTATGCAAGGCCCGATTTGCCTAATAAGCCAAGTTTTCATGAATTAATTGTTTTTCGACTACCTAACCTAACCTATAAAGATAGGTTAGGTTAGGTTAGGTAGGGTTGGTTAGGTTCGGTCATATATCTACGTTAATTTTAACTCCAATAAAAAAAAATGACCTCATGCATAATGAAATGGGTAGCTTTATCATTTCATAAGAAAAAAATAGAGAAAATATAATAATTCATGAAAACTTGGCTTATTAGGCAAATCGGGCCTTGCTTCATATATATTGAATGAATTGCCATCGGACTATGGTAAACATGTAGCAACCTATTACCGTTACTAAAAAAGAAAAAGAAAAGGAGCAATGGTTTCAAGCTCAACAAGTCACATCATAGGACAGAAAACAGATGTTTTTTCACCCATAGGATTATAAACCCCTCGGACCATTTACTCGTCGTTTCAGTAAATGCTTCAATTTAAAATCCTAAATTTTAAAATCCACCTCGATAAAGTCCGCGGAACAAATGGGGTGACCATTTGCAAGCCGCCGGCTTCCTGTCCTGATTGAGGCCCTTTGTGAGATAATGCCCTTCAGGTAAATCCTTTCTTTGATCAATGTGAACGCGTCACAAGAAACATATTAACAAGAATGTGTGTTGTGATCAACATGTGTTTTCTCACCATTCACTTCAAACTACACCACCCAAGTAACAAACCAGACAAGTCAACCGTGGTTGGCTACATTGGCTCACAACCAGCAGGTCTTGGCGGCTTGGTTGCTTGTGTAGTATGGGTAGGTACCCGGGAGCTCGGCAACTGTTGCGGGGAAGGTCCTGGAGAAGGTCAGTCGTTAGCCAATGTGGGCGTCGAAGAGCATGATAGGGTTCATGTTCCTGTTTACAGGGAACTAATAACTGATGGTATGGTATGGTGGCAGGTCCAGATGTGACGGGCGGTGACGGTGTGTACTCTCGCTACTGGGTGCTCGCTCCTAGCGGTGTCAACACCTACACCCTGGTGGTCAAGGTGTCATCCACACCCTCAAGTAAAGTCGTCGGACGCATCAACAACAACAATACTGGTGAGTGATGACCCCGTAGACCCTAACACAGGTAGTGGTGACCCCAGACACGTACTGGTGATCTCAGACCCAAGCACAGGTGGTGGTGACCCCAGACATGTACTGGTGATCCCTGACCCTAGCACAGGTAGTGGTAACCCCAGACACATACTGGTGATCTCAGACCCTAGCACAGGTAGTGGTGACCCCAGACATGTACTAGGGATACCAGACCAGCGCATAGGTGAGTAGTGACCCCAGCATATGTAGTTGTGACCCCAGACCCTAGCACACTTAGTGGTGACTTCAGACAAGTACTGGTGATTCCAGACCCCACTAAAGGTGCGGTCTGGAGTCATCACTTCTGACTTCAGCAAAGTGTGTGGTGTGATCATCAGTGGGTTTTGTATGGGGATCAGTAGGTGTTGTATGATCAGTAGTGAGTGTTGTGTGGTGATGAGTGGGTGTTGTGTGGTGAACAGTGGGTGTTGTGTGGTGAACAGTGGGTGTTGTGTGGTGAACAGTGGGTGTTGTGTGGTGAACAGTGGGTGTTGTGTGGTGAACAGTGTTGTATGATGAGTAGTGGGTGTTGTGTGGTGAACAGTGGGTGTTATGTGGTGAACAGTGGGTGTTATGTGGTGAACAGTGGGTGTTGTGTGGTGAACAGTGGGTGTTGTGTGGTGAACAGTGGGTGTTATGTGGTGAACAGTGGGTGTTGTGTGGTGAACAGTGGGTGTTGTGTGGTGAACAGTGGGTGTTGTGTGGTGAACAGTGGGTGTTGTGTGGTGAACATGGGTGTTGTGTGGTGAACAGTGGGTGTTATGTGGTGAACAGTGGGTGTTGTGTGGTGAACAGTGGGTGTTATGTGGTGAACAGTGGGTGTTGTGTGGTGAACAGTGGGTGTTATGTGGTGAACAGTGGGTGTTGTGTGGTGAACAGTGGGTGTTGTGTGGTGAACAGTGGGTGTTGTGTGGTGAACAGTGGGTGTTGTGTGGTGAACAGTGGGTAATGTGTGGTGAACAGTGGGTGTTGTGTGGTGAACAGTGGGTGTTGTGTGGTGAACAGTGGGTGTTATGTGGTGAACAGTGGGTGTTGTGTGGTGAACAGTGGGTGTTATGTGGTGAACAGTGGGTGTTATGTGGTGAACAGTGGGTGTTGTGTGGTGAACAGTGGGTGTTGTGTGGTGAACAGAGATGTTGTGTGGTGAACAATGGGTGTTGTGTGGTGAACAGTGGGTGTTGTGTGGTGAACAGTGGGTGTTGGTGGTGAACAGTGGGTGTTATGTGGTGAACAGTGGGTGTTGGTGGTGAACAGTGGGTGTTGTGTGGTGAACAGTGGGTGTTGGTGGTGAACAGTGGATGTTGTGTGGTGAACAGTGGGTATTGTGTGGTGAACAGTGGGTGTTGTGTGGTGAACAGTGGGTGTTGTGTGGTGAACAGAGATGTTGTGTGGTGAACAATGGGTGTTGTGTGGTGAACAGTGGGTGTTGTGTGGTGAACAGTGGGTGTTGGTGAACAGTGGGTGTTATGTGGTGAACAGTGGGTGTTGGTGGTGAACAGTGGGTGTTGTGTGGTGAACAGTGGGTGTTGGTGGTGAACAGTGGATGTTGTGTGGTGAACAGTGGGTGTTGTGTGGTGAACAGTGGGTGTTGTGTGGTGAACAGTGGGTGTTGTGTGGTGAACAGTGGATGTTGTGTGGTGAACAGTGGGTGTTGTGTGGTGAACAGTGGGTGTTGTGTGGTGAACAGTGGGTGTTGTGTGGTGAACAGTGGGTGTTGTGTGGTGACCAATGACTGTTGTGTAGTGATCGGTTGGTGTTGTGTGGTCATTAGTGGGTGTTGTGTGGTGAACAGTGAATGTTTTGTGGTGATCAGTGTGTGTTGTGTGTTGGTCAGTGTGTGTTGTGTGTTGGTCAGTGTGTGTTGTGTGGTGATCAGTGGGTGTTGTGTGGTGCTCATTGAGTGCTGTGTGATGATCAATTGAGTAGTGTGGTTGAGGACTACGACCATGCGCGCCACCTGCCAGGTGGCGCTCAGGTGAGTGCCACCCGACAGGTGGTGCGCAGGGGTGCAGTCCTCAAGGGTTTTGGGTGATTTTCCTGGAAGTTTGGCGTGTTTCGGACGCGTGTGAGCGTCCTGTGTTTGGGTATGTGGTTAGGAAAGAGAGTAAGTTATGTTGATGGGTGCCAGGTGGTGCGCGTCGTTATCGTCGCGGCGCGTCGTCGTCGTCGCAGCGCGTCGTCGTCGTCGCAGAGGGTTTGGGAGGGGAATTTCCCGGATGTTATGACGCGTGGCATCCAGCCAGGTGTCACTTGAGAGAGTGTCATGTTGGGGTTGGAAGCTAAGTGGTTGGTATGCAGTCATGTAGGGAGGAAGAGGAGGGGGAAGAGGAGTGTAGGTTATGTTGTGA